GAAGCAAGTACTTTGATTGTCTTCCCCGCCCCCTACCTCCCCCCACCGCTGTTTTTTTCTTTTGCTACAGAGACCCCAACGAACTAAGCCACCTTGGCTTAATAGCAGATTTGAATTAGGCTCTGTGATTAATTTGAATTCCTTCATCTGAGCTTGAAATGTAATTATCTGACTTACATTCTGCCTCCCGGCATCTCATGAGACCCACCTCAGAAGCCTGTAATACATGTAGATGCACTTGGGGGATGTGCATCTTTGAGGAGGGATGCTCAGAAGCCAGAGGAAGGCTCTTTGGCCTGACTGCCAGGAGCCTAGAGTCATTGTCAGTCCAGATTCTAGCCACTTCACGACAGTGCCCCCATCTTGGCCAACACCAAATGAGACGCTACATGAAGAGATGTCTTACACACATGCACTCCAAACCAGTGACCTCCTCACTCCCATCAGAAATAAGCTTTAGTAAATAGTTTTAGGTCAAACACTTCATCCAAGTTGTTTATTTTCAAGAAAATATTTCCTCACATTTTTTCTAATAATTGTCTTACTTTTACCCTTCTATATCTTTTCATTTGATTAACATAGCTCAGCCATTCACACACAAAGCTGAACATATCATGCCACTGTTTAAACCTTTTAATGGGGCCCTGTTGCTATTAGGATAAAATCCAATATCTCTGAAATGGCCCACAGTGTTCTCATTACCCAGCCCCTGCTTACCTCTCTGGCTGTTCCCCTATCAACCAGATTTCAAGCCTTAGTGAGCTACTTTATGTGCCCCCATGGTCCATGTGCTGTCTTGCCCCAGTGCCTTCGCACGTGCTCTTGCTCTACTCAGAATGCCATGCTACCCTTTCTTCATCATATCACTCCTGGCGAACACAGCTCAGGTACAAAGGTTTCCAGAAAGCCTCCCTCTGGATGTTTTCCTTCTGTGTTCCCATATCTCCCCTGTGAGTTCCTTTATTACAAAGTATTTGGCAGACTGGGAAGTAGTCATCTTATACTTTCTGACTCCGTTATCACATGGGGAACCCCTTGAAGGAAGGGACTCAGGCAAACTCGTGTCTGTTTTTCAGCACCTAGCACTGTGCCTGACACATAGTAGGCACTCATAGATGATTAATTGGCAGGGTGAGAGTATTGCTAGACCCCTTTAGATATATATGGCTTGGCGGGACATCTCTTTGTCCTCCATCCCTATGTAGTCACTCTCCTTACCATCTTAAGTAATATAATGAGAGGATATTTAGTAGTATAATGAGAATATTAAGTAAGATAATGAGATACCCCTTAACCAACACTGGTGTCCTCTGCATGTTCTAAGTGCAGAGAAATTCCAAACACACAAAGGAAATTACCAGTTGTGCACATAACCAGCAACCCTTTCCCAAAGAGGAGAACTCTGTTCACTTAAGATGTTTAAATATCTTAAGATGTTTCTCTTCTGTTTTATTTTTCCCAATGTGGTCTAGATATTTTACTTATCCCATTTTTATTCTCATACAGGTATGAGCTTCTTCACACCTTAAACTTTGATCCTGTCCGCCGTCGTATGAGTGTCATTGTGAAGACTCCAACAGGTATGCATTTGAAAATCTTGACTTTTTCTCTTTTTCCATTCCTGGATTTATATGTTAATCAACAATTTCAAGAAATAAAACATATCATGGAGCAGTATGTGATGACCTAAAGTCATGCAAAGCAGTAGCTTTTGTATATGTTTTAATGTATTTCTGTAAGCACATATGTTCAACTTGCCAAATTGTCAGTGGCACAGCCCCTGGTATGACTGTATATATGCATTTTCTTGGAAACTGGACTCGACTTCTCAGTCCTGG